ACAAGCAAGACAAGCCTTTGTCTCGCCCGGTTGTCTAAGACTGTAACGGGAGGAGGACGCGAGAGGGATCAAGCACAGCCCACTTAGTCGTAATTATGGTTTGTTTTATGATACACGCGGATAGGACACCGCTGTATCTGTATCGCCTGACTACTACACATAACTATAAAATCAAGATTTTTGTCTTTAACCATACTTTTATACCGTAAATATCAATTTGGATCGGGATATCGATATGGCAATTCTTCGACAAAAAACGAAAGATATCATTCTTAAATGATGGTTATTACAGTACCGCGCATTAGTCTCGTCAGTACGATACGATGTAAATGACAACCGCATCACTCACATCTGACTAGATACATCCGCCAGTAGAACTACGATATTTTCTGCCCCTTACTTAAAAAGAAAATTTCATTCGTTCAAAAGTCAGTGTCTGAGTTTTTTTATTTGATTCTTGGGTAAGACAAAACAACACCAAAAAAACATTGTTATTTTCAATGGAAAAAGAACAACGTCAAATAGAAACAATGGTATTTAATAAAGGATTTCTTTTAAACACACTTATTTCGCAAATTTATACTGATTTTCGAGCACATTCGACAGGATGTATTACTGCGAATTTTAAAATAATGCAGAGAAACATTGTGACATATTCAACAATGTTTTACAATTCTCCACTATTTTTTTCGTGGATTACAAATCCTTGTAGTTTGAGACAAAAATCCGGAAAATAAAGGTTGAAGTCGCGAAAATAAAATGATTACAGTTTCAACTTCTTATTTAGCCTTCGAGTTTTTAAAACTTATATTTTCTACATATAGTTGCATACCTTCACACGTAAAAACACTTTAAAATACCGATATAAAACTTTGGGTAACTCACAAATAAAATCCTATTTCCATTTTTGAAATCTTAAACAAAAATATATTATGTGCAATAAAAAAAAAACATCCGGAAAACTAAATTTTTCAACAAAACAAAATGCATAAAAAACGTTGTATAGTAGAATTCGTAAAAGCGGACATGCATGGGACAGTAAAGTTTTCTGTTGGGGTGTGTACATGTACATGTCTGTTGATCCGGATTGCTGTCCGGAAACCGCGTTTTAAATATCTATTATTTATTGATGGTCATGTACAGTTGTTGTAAACGCCAGTATCTCGACTACTTCTGTCAATCATACACAATGTACCTATGTCGATGAATGGTCCTCTATTGTCGTCAACTTCCAAAACGAATCGACAACAATATGAGTTTTAAACGTACACCTCACTGTTTCTATGGGGAGAGGGCAGTCCATACATGCACAACGTAATTCCCCTCCCCGACTTAAGTGAATAGGCACAATGTGATTTCTCATCCAATGACAGAAAATCATTTGTTTGTTTACTTTTTATGCGCAATAAAATTGAACATTTTAAATCGGATCATTGAATAGTAATACAATACAGCCATTTAATAATTCGCGCATTCCACGCGAGATAGAAACCAATTCCTTTGCACATTAATCGACCGGAATGGCGAACTGCTTTCATGCAAGATTAGCATCCTTAATGCGCATGCTTGTCCCTCTTATCGGTTATTGGCCACCTTGATGATCGGTTGACCTAGTATGACCTTTCACTACTAGTGCATGATGGGTAACTTTATCACCATTGAACCAGGCGACGTTGACTTGAACCCGGATGATCCCTGTAAAAACGCAGACGACAGATATTTCCTCTTTTGCGCGCGTGATAGATTACGCCTGCCTGCTATTTATTGATATTAACCAATTTGTACTTAATACTTCCATAAGTCAATACGTTTGTCGTTAAATTCTCCCGCCGCGATCGACGGACTGGCTATTAGTTGGGAAGGAATCTTGTAACAGAAAAGTAACTCGATATTAACAAGATGCTATCTCGAATTACGCCTTACGAATTATCTCGACTTGGAAAACCTTTGATACACCCGTGCAGTAAAATAAATATGATATCTTCCCCTAGGTAACATACAAATGTAACAAAACAACATTTCACTTGAATAGTTATTTATTACTTTGTTTTTTTTATCAATACATTACCGGATCCGGAATTTTTTTCTCTCATTCTGTATAAGACAATTACCACGTACGGTAACAAAAACAAAGGTTGGTAACTCTTGGGAAAATGTATTCTTTTCCTTTTTTTATCAATCATTTATCCATGTTTATGAATTTATTACGTTATATAGATTATTATATAGAGCGTATAAAAAACAACAAAGTGAACAGCGAGTAAACAATGAAAATCGTTTGTTTTACTTTTTTTCTACGACGTCGTAGGTTAAAGGTATGCAGAAATTGCTTTGATTATTTCACTTGAGAAATTAAGTTTTAGAAAACCGCAACTCGGATTGCGACCGTTAGAGTGTTTGTTTTGTTTGTTTGTTTGTGTTTTACGTCCTATTAACAGCTATGGTCATTTAAGTACGTGACAGGTGGTGGTGGTGGAGGAACGCCGGAGTTCCCGGAGAAAAACCAGAATGTCAGACACCTTAGCCACTTTGCCACCGCAGCCCCTACTGTTGAGGAGGTATATAATGACCTTCGGGGTACCTACATGTATATAACTGCTGAATTTTTCCAATCTCGTCTTTTAATAAAACTATCATATTTGACAATGACAGAAAACAAATGTCGAAAAGACAACGAAATATTTGAAATGATTGCTTCCGAGGTAATTCGCCATTTCAATGATTTTTGCCGCAATATTTAAAAAACAATTCTTTTTCGCTTTTTATCACATCGATATCCTTAATGTTTTGACATTTTGATTTGATTGTTTTTTAGAATTATCTTAAAGGTTTGTAAGGTCATTGTCCCTTGTTATTGTGTATGTTGAAATTAGTATGTTACCAGTTCCGAAAACCTGAATATTTGGCTGATTAAGTTGGAACCATATGATGTCGGTTTAATTGTTTTCATTGCCTTACCTTATAACAGCGTGTCTGATCGGATAGTATTAATCCCATGACGTAGCAATAAAATATCATGGCGTCGTCACACGTTCGAGTTTCCCCGATCCCCATTTCCCTGATTCTGAGCCTCTCTAGATGCACGTTTGTTAACTGAGCTGCATACTTATTTAAGTATATAGGTCACTGACATACCTCCTGTACTCCCTCCCCATGCCAAAACATGCTTGTATACCAAATCTTGTTGAACCAGTTTTGCTGACAACGTCCTAGTAGGTTAGGAATAGTTGTCAGGACAATGATTTTTTAACCATGGGCAACAACTCCTTAAAAAGGATTGGAATGAGAAATACTTCACCGATGCACGACAGCAGGAGGTAATTGTACCATATCTGTAAAATTTCATTGAAATCAGCCCAGTAGTTTAGGAGGCAAACAAACGTATTTCTAAAAAAAAGGGTCATAACTCCTTTTAAAGAAACACTACTTAGATGCAAAACTTCAGGGGGCAGTTACCATATTTGTAAACTTTCGTTGAAATCGCCCCCGTAGATAAGGAGAAGTTGTCAGGGCAAGGATTTTCAACAAAGGGCAATGATTCCATAAAAATGGTCAGAATGAAAGTAATAACTGGATGAACACCATCAGGTGGTACATAAATGTAATTATCATACCTGGCAACTTTCGTTGATATCGGCCCAGGAGTTGTTCGGACAAACTTTTTCTACGGACAGACAGAATTTCGAGTTATAAGATTTGGAGAAGGTATAATTTTCCACTATCAGGCGTTAAAAGGTATTGGATCAGCCGCCCGAACACGTTGGTTTTCGTCGGGTACATGTACTCCGGTTTCCTCCCACATTAAGACCACCTTGCACTCTTCCATCAAGAGGGATTATTTTATGTTGAAAAAAAATGTTTCATAATTATTGCAAAATAAATAAAATTTATATCAATAATCCGGAAACTGCATTGATACATGTGCTTTATACATGCTTGCATTTTTAGAAAATGACTTGGAACAAATGTTTCGTAGTGGTACCAAGGGTAGATTCAAGGTACATTGTTTTTGTTTGGTTAGAGTTTGCTATGTGAACCAAATTCATTCATTTTCATTTCTCAGTGTTCATCTTTCTTACCGAAAAAAATAAATAGCTTCAGGGTTAGGTTTCATTGCGGACATTTTTGTATTAATTAGATTTAGGAATTTTCATTTCTCTTCGTAAATACTCTTCAATACTCGTTAATACTTGTCAGCGTCAATATCCGTCAATAACCGTTAACAATCGTTAATACACGATAATACTTGTAAATACACTTCAATACCCGTTAATACCCGTTAATACTCGTCAGCGTCAATATCCGTCAATAACCGTTAACAATCGTTAATACACGATAATACTTGTAAATACACTTCAATGCCCGTTAATACCCGTTAATACTCGTCAGCGTCAATATCCATCAATAACCGTTAACAATCGTTAATACACGATAATACTTGTAAATACACTTCAATGCCCGTTAATATTCGTCAATAACCGATAATTCTCGTCAATAACCGTAAATACTCGTTAATAACCCTAAATACAGTACTCGCTAATAACCAAGTTAATACTTGTCAATAACCGCCAATACCCGTTAATACTCGTCAATACAATGTAACCGTCAAGTGTCGTTAAAACTCCTGTTAATACTTGTAAATACTCTACTTTGCCCGTCAATACTAGTCAAAAAATGAGAATACTCGTTAATACTCGACAATATTCGTTAACACTTATATTATCGTCAATAACTGTTTATACTAGTTATTACTCGTGAATAACTGTCAATACTCGTTTTAACTCTTCAATTCCCATTAATACTTAAATCCATACCCATTGATACTCGTAAATACCAGTTAAAATAGTTACACAATGTGATACGTTGCGTTGTCAATGTGTCAAAAAATACGGTAGATACGACAACACAGCGTACTGAACTGAGATGTGGATAAAGCAAAATAACGACATTGTTAAGACACACCGAAGCAGTGATAGAAAACCACACATTACATACTTGCCACAAAGCTGTTTATTGTCTAAAAATTGGAGGAACAGCAATAGACCAGCCTTTCTACAACGAGATTCAGGTATGAATAAGAAACCCGGTGAACATACAATTATATTCAACAATCGATACCCCTGGAGTTTTGGAAGTGACCCGGACCCAGACCTCATCTCCTTCCTGAAGGTACAGCGTCACAGTAGCAGAACCGTATCCCCAAACACTGTTGTCCCCACCACCGGAAGTGTTGTACCCAACTGTCGCGCCATTGAGCATGAGCTCTGTTTCCAGTCCATGTGCTGGTTCGTGGATTCGGATATTCCACGAGAAGACGTACACGCCCGGCGTGTTACAGATAAAAACCCCGGTTGTTGCATGATATCCGGTGCCGATGTTTGTCTTCATGTCAGAGAATGGGATGATGTGTCCGTAAGCCGGGTCATGTATTCTGACAGGCAGTATTGCATGGAAAGCTACCCAGTCTGTGACGGGTGCTGCAAGATGAAACACAGACATTTACTTGTTGCTTATTAAGTACATGCATGATGCGCTTGCAAACAGGACTTTGTCAGCAATGACTTATATTAATCTATATATAACTTTACACTACCTAAAAGTAAGGTGATAAATACATCATGAATAAGCATAAAATGTTTGAATAAAAAACAAGTTAGAGTGGATATTCCCATGTTACAATGGGTTTCCTAAAAACTGGCTACCCCTGCTCGCTGACGTCATAGGGCGGAACTTTTTCCTGGTTCAAGTTTGCTTTACTTTTTGTGCATTACCTCATATTCACAGCTATGGTCATTAAAGGACAAGCTTATTTTTTGGTGTGGAGGAAAACCAGAGAACCCGTAGAAAATCAATGACCTGCTGCCAGTACCTTGCGACCATCCCCCGTAGGCCTCAAACCCGCGACCAAGTGATGGAGGGCTAGTGATCTTAGACGATCAGACGCCTTTATCATTCGACCGCTGCAGCCCCTTACTGTTATGAGTGAACGTTAAGATTATCGTTTGACCAACCACGAGTAAACTTTGCATATAAGGAACTGTGCCACTACACTAAAGCGGCCACTGTTGCTAGTAAGGTTGCTGCAAACCTCACTGTTCAAGCAATCCATCAAAAGGGTTTTACACCTTGTATCATAAAAGATGAATTTAATACACACATAGAGGGTTGCAGCTTTAAATATCGGTAATTGATACAGTAGCCAAAAGAGAATTACACTGTATCAGAGTCTAAAATCCAAATTATCTAAATTACTGTTTAAACAGAAAAGAATGCGTGTTCAACTCAAAAATAGAGGAGAACGATTTTATCTACGTGCTTGAGATAAGAAAACTTATCGCGACAAACCATTAAAACAGTGTTAAGGTATATATATATGACCTTCCCTTAGGATAGTTTATTAAGAGGCACGTAAATATTTTAATGTATGATTTGGTATATTTCTATATTTCTATAGTCGACGCCTTCAAAAATGTAATTTCTTATACTCCCCCATAATCCCGGAGAAGGACGTCGTACCATATTCACTTTACTACTGCTTTTTGAAATAATATTCATTTGTCAATAGAGGAAAAGAATATAGTTATGCTTACCTACTCTTGGCCTCATTATAATTGATGTTCGTTTGGCAATGCTTGGAGCTTGAAATGTCTGGGAATGTGTTTTAAGTGTCTTCACATCTTTGAAATTGTTATTCTTTAAATCCTTTAGCCGATTTGTCAAACCTTTTACATCGTGTTTGCCGTGCATTTTCTCCACATCCGATGAACGATTGATCTGGGCTTGCAGTTCTTTAGAGCGCATATTCTCCACTTCCGGTATACCACTGGTTAGGATATCAAAATCTTTGTTGCACATGTTTTCTACTTCCGCAAGGCGATTGGTAAGCGTTTCTAATTCTTTGGCGTGCATAGTCTCCACTTCGAGAAGGCGATTGGTGAAAAATTGAAAATCGTTTTCGCGATTGTTCTCCACTTTTGCTAGCCGACTGGTGAGAATCTGCACATCTTTTGACAGAAAGTGTTGTTTCTGGGAAATATAATCGTCAATTGCATCTCGCACATCCTGCGACAATGGGATACTTAACACGTTGGTAGTGTGATAGAGTAGCCCTGCATATAGGCAAAGAAAAGTTAAACCAGACATTGTCGACAGATCAGACACTCGCCCAGACCTGCTAGTATTTGGAACTATCATTATCTTTTTAAACGCTTCCAGTTCCGACATGCACTAAAATATGGTCTAGTTACCTTTGTTTGCAAATCAACACTCGATCGATCTTACATTTTGTAATCCACGTTCCGCGTTTTAGAGAATGCGATCGACAAATCAAATTGTATTCACTCTTCTTCACTCTTTTGATGTTATTCGCCGATTCATGAAAAAATAATTGCAACAAGGCAAATGGCGGGACCAGATTAGAATGTTGAGAGCAGAACTCAAGCACGGTGTTTACTGTTATAGATAAAGAAGTCGGAAAGTGACGAGTTTACATTTCAAAATTACCAAATCACCAATTCTAACATGAAATTGCTGAAAAACCTCCACTTGATCTATCACTAAGCCATGACTATGATACGAGGAAAAGCGACAAAACATTTTAAAAAAAACATTTTATCGATAACGTATCAAAAGATAGGATCAGAAAAGACCGATGAAACGGGGCTAGACCATACAAATCAAAGGACGTGTATGTGTTTGTGGATTAACCGGTTTGTCTATTTTTCAATGTAATATTTTCGAGTATAAATCCGGGCGAAACTCCAAATGTGTATGCAAGGCTTTGTTGTGGCTTTTGTGAAGGGCCACCTAAAAGCAGCATCAGATTACCAGGTCATTCCTTAACGAATAACGTTGGTCCAACTGGTCCAACCGCTTGGATCGCTATAAACGAAATCGGTCCAGATACCACCGAATGGACCGGGGGTACCATACACCGATATCAATCTAGTCAAAGAGATAAGTCGAGATCAATACCACAATAGGACCAGGCTAGCAGTATCACACCACAGATGCCAGTTTATATTGACATAAGACCAATTTGACTTGATACAAGATACCAAAGCATACAGAAAGGACTACACAAGATAACTGCGACCAAATAAAAACACCAAACCATTTTTAGCATATGCCACCAAACCCTTTTTGATATGAACGAAGACGGAAAGATAAGCAATGAAGTTGGCGTAAACATTTTGGAGTTCAACAGGAGTCTTGACAGATCGTTGAGGTCATTGAGTCATATCTCTAATGCATTCACGCCTTCACATACTGCATAGATTGTATACACAAACACAATTCGTAAAATATATGTGTGAACGATCAATGGCTTTTCTTCAAAACTTACAATAATGTTTTAGGAGTATTACTGTTTGAGCTATGTTATCTAGAACATACTGGTTCTTAGACTTAATAACATTAAGATAAGACATATGTGCCTTATGCTTTCGTGCAGATACACGCATAATTCATTTTTAACAAATGATGTTGAATTTTTGCAGCGTCCAAATATATTATCTTTAAACAATTTCAAAATATTGCAAACCTCGTTTCTATAAATAGATCGATATACGTTGTAAATAACAAATTAGTAATCTTTGCATGAATACCGAAGTATGTGGCTGATATAGATGGAACCATATGGTGTCGGTTTACTTTGTTTTATAGCCTTAACTTTATAACAGCGTGTCTGATTGGATGTTATTAATCACATGACGTGGCGTCCTCATGCGCTCGAGTTTCCCTTATCCTATTTCCCTTATTCGAAGCCTCTCTACATGAGCAATAGTCCTAACAACCGTGTTCCGACTGACTGAAGCAAACGACAACAACGTTGCGTCATTCTTTTCATATTTGTTTAATTTGGCATAATAAAATAGTTCTTTTTTGAGTTTGTGGTAAGGAAAAACATTTACTTGTTTATTCCCTACAACAACGACAATAAATGTATATTATTACATAAAGTAAATGATACCAGTACAAGAGTATTGATAATTTGACAGAAGTTACTTAAGCGCTGTCGTAAAGAGATTTCTGGTTACAGATATTTCCATTAGCAAAATATAATGCATTCATCCTGCATTTTGAAACTGTGCATTAACCTTTCTGGATAACAACATTGATAAAATGTAGGATTGACGATGGATAAGTCAGCATTTCGTGTTATTAGATTTGGACCTCTATCAGGCGTTAAAAGTTATTGGATCACTTGCCCAATCACGTGGGTTTGCGTTAGGTACACCGGTTTCCTCCCATATTTACACTGCCTTGCGCGCTTCCATCCGAGTCAACAAGAGGGGTTATTTTACGTTGATAAAACATTCTTGTTAGAATTTTCGCAAAATTGATAAACTTTATATTAATTGTAATCCTGTAAAATGCCTGGATACTTGTGGTTTATACTGTGACAAATATTTCGTAATGGTACCAAACAGAAATTGATTCGATGGTACATGTACATCGTTTTGTGTTTAACATTATTATTCTTATTTCGGGATAGACATTTGTTTTCTTTTATTGAGATGCCTGACGATAACTTGCAGTTTCTCATTAAATATGATACCCGTTTGAGTGATCTGTCCTTACCCTTGACATTTTGATATGCAAAATCCTTTCAGAAATTTCGCATATATAATTGGATTCACTCAAAAATGTCTTTGGCGTCTGTATATTATGCGAGAGAACAAAGAAAGAAAGAATAACGACTAAAAAATAGAGCAACTAGGGAACTTTTAACAATACGTAGCCCATGCGATTGCTACTAGGCAGCCACTGATAAACATACAAGACAATTTTTTATTACGATATTTTGACAATTTTTGGGACCGAAACTCCGAATAAAGAACAATGGTGAGAACTTAACCATGTGCGTAACAGATGTACAAAGCTATCGATCGAAAATATTATGGAACTACAACAGTGTCGATGGATGAGCCGTATATACTCTTTGATGGAAATCAATGCCAATCTCTGCATAGAATCTCGGTCACCCATTTTCACTTCTGATAATGTTGCCAGTACTTGCTGAAATGTGTCCGCATCCGCGGTGATTGACAAATCTGAGAAGCGATCATATTACGTAAATGTGATGTGCATAAATATATATAGAAAACTAATTGCAAGACGGACAATCCGAGCGTCATAGTAACAAATCCCCCGTATTCTATGCTTTTTAAATCGGCAAATTTTAAGTCACATCGGCAAATATATGGCATTTTTCAGGCACCATCACGACTAGCCAAATGAGTACCATTTATACACTGTAGATTCAAAAACATTGTCATAAACAGCAGCACAGGCCTTCTTTCTTTGATACAATATACAAACTCAAATTACAATACGCACATTGAATATAAATTTATTAAGATTTAATTGGAAAAAACCCAGGTAGACACCGTGGGTGGATAAACAGTGATGTTACCATTCTGACAGGGGAAGTTTAGTATCAGAAAATTGAAATCGTCCCGTTTGAAGAGAAGCTTTATGAGATGAAAAACTCTATCTCAATCTTTTGATTTCCAAAGAAGAAGTGTTAATATAAGTTTCGAGCCACTGTTCGTGTCCCTATGGTGAGTCATGAAGAGGATATATAACTTTGAATTTCTGTAACTATGTACATTGTATATAGAAAAATATTACAGTTGTTACGTACTATTAGATAGAGCGGTAATTGAAACCTAGCTTGAGTTGGGTTTGACAGCAGTTCTAACCGTGCAAGGACGTGGAATTAAATGTAATATCCAATCCTCATCAATGAAACTTTTCCCTTTGACAGGAAGACAAAATGTACGAGAGCTGCAAATTGAAGAAAACCTAAATAGTTCACGTGAGCAAAATAAATCAAAACAAAAGAAAGAAAGGCTGAATTTATTCTGTATAGGTATAGGGTGCAGAATTTGTGCTCAGAACCTTGGCAAATATTCGGTTTTGATTTAAACCCTGCATTCCCAGGTAGAATTTCCCTATACCGATACAAATGCATAATAGACTATCAGTGTATCATTTTATTTTGGTAGGCTTTGATATGTGAACCAATTTCATTCTTTTTCTTTCTTTTTTTTTTCAGCTGACATCTTTTTTATAGTGTAGATTTCAGCCTTAGGAAAGGTTTCATTGCCGCGATTTGTATGCAGCAATTGAAAATAAACATGTAAATTGACTTTGTGTGTTACATTGCTCTTCATTATTACGCTTTAATACTCGCCAATACCTGTTAGTAATCTCTAGTAACCGTTCATACTCGTCAAAATACTCAAAATACTCGTAACTACTTGACAATACCCGTTTTTACTCATTCGTACCCATAGATATCCGTTTAAATACCCTTGAAAATAGTTACAGAATATGTAACTGACTTTATTCAGTGTTGTCAATAAGAATAATAGTAGGAGGTTAATGAATAAAAAGTAGGAGGCACCAATTTTTTGAGGGCCGAAGGCCCGAACGGCGGCCAAAGGCCGCTGAACGAGGGCCTTAGGCCGGAGTCAGGGGGAGAGCACGAGAGGGGGCCTGGAAGCCCCCTTCTCGTAAGGGGGGTACGGGGGCTCACCCCCGGAAAAAATTGAAATCCTAGATGACCGGAGATGGCTTTTAAGCACTTTTGAGAGAAACAAATGAGGATAATTGTTCATTATACAAACATCAATATCATGCAAATTATTTTCCATTCAACTTTAAAATTGGAAATTTTTCTACTACCCATGATGCTGAAAACGCATTCTCCTGGAGGTCAAAAATTCAGTTTTTTGACAGGATGCTGTTTGTTGTTGCATTGTCTCAAAGAATAACTATAATACAATATTTTGAATATTTATATAATTTGTTTTTTTCAGCCATTCCGAGTACTGAAACCACTGGACCAATCAATTGACATGTTCACACTGATTTTAAGCTATTCATTTGTTTAATTATTTAATAATCTGGGACTAAGAAATTAATAGTTATATTTATTAAATGTGTATTTTTAAAGTTTTTCAATTTATTTTCATTATAATTTAGACAAAAACAATATGTAATCAATTAAAAACAAATGCAAAAAAAAACATACTGTTTTTTTGAATGACAAAATTTGAAATAAAATGTTGAAATAAAATGTTACAATATTAAAATTAAATTTTGATATTTAATTAAGTCTTCATAAATGCTGATAAATGCTCCCGGCCAGTCAAGTGTATTTCGGACGTGTGCAAGTCTATCGATAGCACTCGCCTAACAATCTGATATCCATAATTACTAATTATTAGCTGTATAGTTCTAATGTAACATTAGAACTATACAGCTAATAATTAGTAATTATGGATATCAGAATGTTTATACTAATCCCTGTAATTGAATTCAACACTGTGCTCGTGTGTAAACATTGCCGTGACAAGTCAATGTTACGATATTACGATGGTACCTAGTCAGGCGGAGTCTACAAATATCACCACAAATTGCCGGAATATTTTGAGTCTGGAGCTTTTATTTATCGATTGAATATCATCCCTTCTTAAAGAAATGGAACAAAGTTTGAGTGTTTTGCCGTTTCATGCTATGTGTAATTGTTTTGTTAATATTGTCCTCTTTTCGGAGTGCATCGGAGGTTTTCCACTTCCGGGAATTCACTAGGGGTCCTCGGGTGTTTTCCTTGGGCATACTAATGTTTACCGATCACGTCCGTGATTTGAGAGTGATTTGATGTCGACATCAGAAGAAAAGTTCACAGTTGTAAGAAAACCAACAACAGCAACAAACATAGCATATTTTCTTTATTTTATTTTTATTCTTGGCACAAAAGTAGACGGCGACAAATAACAGAATACCAGGCGACAAATCGCCGGGTGCCGGCTCCTATTGACAACTCTGCTTTATATGGTGTTAATCTCTCTTTTTTTGCGGCTGTAAAAGTATAACACGATGGCTCATATGTTATTTTAATGATAAAAAGTACCAGGAAAATCACGAATCGAAATCGTGGTCATTTACACTGAGATATGGTTAACGCAAACGAAAGTCATTGTAAAGTCACGCCAAAACACTAATTAAAAAACAAAACATGCTATACTTGTCACAGCGCTGTTTATTGTCGAACAATTGGAGGAACAGTAAAAGTTCAGCCTTTCTACAACGAAATTCAAATATGTATAAGAAACCCGGTGAACATGCAATAATATTCAACAATCGATGCCCCTATACTTCTTGCAGCAGCCCGGACCCAGACCTCATCTCCTTCCTGTAGGTACAGAGTCACAGTAGCAGAACCATATCCCCGGGGATTGTTGTCCCCACCACCGGAAGTGTTGTACCCAACTGTCGCGCCATTGAGCACGATCTGTGTTTCAAGTCCATGTCCTGGTTCTGCAATTCGGATACTCCATAAGAAGACGTACGCACCCGGTGTGTTACAAGTAAATATCCCGGTTTTCGCATCATATCCGGTGCCGATGTTGGTCTTCATGTCAGAGAATGGGATGATGGTCGTAGGTCGGGTCATCAATTCTGACAGGCAGTATTGCATGGAAAGCTACCCAGTCTGTGACGGGTGCTGCAAGAGCAAGCAAAAGACGCTCTAGGTTAATTATTGAGTACATGTATGATGCGCTTGCAAACAAGACTTTGTCTGCGAATATTTTTATTAATTCAATCCTACATCATACTATTGACAAGTACATTGTAGGATGATAAATTCATTATCATAAAATTAACTTAAAATATTTGAATAGAAAAAACATGTGAGTGTGGATTTTCCCATTTTGGAAAATGTTGTCTCAAACCATGGCTTCAGTACTTGGCGACTACACTACGTAACCATTCGGTCGCTTTAGCCAGTTATTGAATCAATTTAATACAATCGTCTGACACAGTGTATCCTTATTTAATTAATTAATCAGCCTGATATATTCACTTTAAAGAAAAGCCATCCACGAGCAATACATTCCTTAATAAAAAAAAAATACTTGGCAAATACAAGAAAAAGACGAAAAATAAAATAAAAATTAAATAAAACGTTTTTATACAAGTAAAGTCGGCCAATACAGGTTGGGCACGAAACGAACGCATCCCGATATTCGGATTATTTTATGCAATCGTCCAAATGCGTTAAACGGTCTAACAGTACGCTAAGAAAAAGGAAATCGGACAACAAATAGAAAGCAGATGAATAATTGACAGAAGTCCTTTGTCAGAGATAAATGTACTACGTTAAAATTATAAATAGGATTTTAAGGTTCTTTTACAACGTCAGGTCTGTTCGTACTTCGTAGCCATGGATACATTGGATATCGTTTGATGCCGTTGTCTGAAGAATTTATAAACTATGTAAACTAATGAGAAGGGAAATGAAAAAGCGTTGGGGTTTCTTTCACACGAGATGCCAACCTGCTTGTACGAGATGGTTTTAAAACACTAAAATGAGATACCCCGAACACTGTACAAAAAACTATCAGATGTGTTGATTTTAATTGGTGTGAAAAACCACAGCTAAATATATAAATGAAAATATTCTTTTAAGTTACATGAATTCACGTATTTTCTATTGGCAATGTTTGATTCCTATCAAAAGTGCAAGAGTTTCAATTCACTCCTGAAATAAGACGTTCAGCAATGACAAAACGCTTGCCTTAAACCTGGCTAAACCACGTGTTATATGGAGAGACTATTTTAAGCAAGAAAGATAGTGACTCAAGAGACATGTTAATATTTCTATATGCATTCTGGTATATTTCTATATTTTCCGACGCCTTCAAAAAGGTAATTTCTCACATTACCCATAATCCCGGAGAAGGACGTCGTACCATATGTTCTCACTACTGCTTTTTGAAATAATATACATCTGTATAGAGGAAAAGAATATATTCCTGCTTACCTACTCTTGGCCTCATTTTGAATGATGTTCGTTGTGGCAATGCTTGGAGCTTGAAATGCATAGGAAAGTGTTGTTAGTATCTTAACATCTTTGGGATTGTTATTCGTTAAATCCTCTAAGCGATTAGTCAAACCTTTCACATCGTTTTTGCCGTAAATACTCTCCACTTCCGATGAACGATTGATCTGCGCATGCACTTCTTTAGAGCTAATAATCTTCCCTTCCGGTATATGACTGGTAAGGATCTCCACATCTTTGTTGCACACGTTCTCTACTACCGTTAAGCGATTGGTAATTATCTCTGATTCTTTGGCGCGCATATTCTCCACTTTAAGTAGGCGATTGGTGAACAATTGCAAATCGTTTCCGAGAATATTCTCTATTACCGTAATGCGGTTGGTAAGCATTTCCACATCTTTGGCGCGCATATTCTCCTCTTCCGCTAGGCGACTGGTGAGGATTTCCACATCTTTTGTCCGCATATTCTCCACTTCCGTTAAGCGATTGGTAAGAAATTCCACATCTTTTGCCCGCATACTCTCCATTTCCGCTAGGCGATTGCTTAGAATTAGAGCATCATTCGACCGGAACTGTTGTTTCTGGGAAACATACTCATCAATGGCATCTCGCACATCCTGCGATAATGGAATACTAAACACGTTGGTAGCCTGACTGACTAGCCCTGCATATAGAAAAAGAAAAGTTAAACAAGGCATTGTCGACAGTTTCGACACTTGTCCGACCCCTGCTGAAACGCGGGTTTGTATCAAGATGCGTTTTTCTCCCATATAAAGACCACCTTGCGCACTTCCATTAAGGGCGAACGAAAGGGATTTGTTCACGTTAAAAAAATATATCTGTTTCATAATTATTGCAAAATAAAACTTTATATTAAATTGAATCCTGGAAACTGCATTGATACATGTTGTTTATATATGAACGCATTTTTAGAAAATGACTTAGACAAATATTTCGTAATGATACCAAGGATAGAATCATATGAGTGTGTTTATTGTTTTTGTTTAGAACGGGTTTGCTATTTTAACAAGTTTCATTCATTTTCATTTTTCAGCTTTCGAAAATTTCAGCCTGAGAGTACGGTTTCAATGCCGAGATGTTTGCATTTATTGATTATAGGCATGTTTCATTTCTCTTCGTTATTACTCTTCAATACTCGTTAATACTCGTCAGTACCCAATGAAACTTGTCAATAAGCATTAATACTCTTTAATACTCTTTAATACTCGTTAATACTCAATACTCGTCAATACCAGTTAAAACTCGTTAATACTCGTCAATACTCGTCAATGCTCGTTAATACTTGTCAATACCAGTTAATACTTGTCAAAACAAGTTTATACTTGTCAATACCAGTAAATACTCATCAATACTCGTTTATACTCGTTAATACTCGTTAATACTCGTTAATACTCGTTAATATTTGTCAATACCAGTTAATACTTGTCAATACAAGTTAATACTTGTCAATACCAGTTAATACTTGTCAATACCAGTAAATACTCGTTAATACTCGTTAATACTCGTTAATACTCGTCAATATCCGTTAATACTCGTTAATAATGTTGATTCTTGTAAAATTCTTCAATGCCCGTCAATACTCGTTATGAACCGTTAGTACTCGTAAATACTCGACAATATCCGTAAAGACTTGCTAATTATCGTCAATACCTGTTCATACTCATACTGTCAATACTCGTTCGTAACCCGCCAGTTCTTATCTATACTCGTCAATATCCGTTAATATTTGTTAATTCTCGTTAATTCGTACGTGTCAATACCCGTCGATAGCCTTTAATACTCGATAAAACACATCAATACTCGTCAATACGTATCGATGCTCTTCAATTCCCGTTAATACTTATTCATACCAATTGATACTCGTAAAAATCAGTTAAAATAGTTACAGAATGTTATACTTACTTGCATAGTTTTTAACCTTGCGATGTTAGCAAGAATATTACGAATGTGTCAACAAAATCGATGCAAAGCACGACTCAAAGACGTGGTCGTTACAACTAAAATAGCATATTGAACTGAGCTGAGATTAAAGTAAACAAAACAGTCATCGTGAAATCAAGTTAAAACTGTAACAAAAAACACAACAATCTATACTTGTCACAACGCTGTTTATTGTCTAACAAGTGAAAGAAAAAGGAAAGCCCATCATATCTTCAGCTGGATTCAGGTATGTAGAAGAAACCCGGTGAACATGCTATTACTTACAATTGATACCCCTGCAACTTTTTCAGCAGACCGGACCCAAACCTCATCTCGTTCCTGAAGGTACAGAGTCACAGTAGCAGAACCGTATCCCCAAGCACTGTTGTCCCCACCACCGGAGGTGTTGTACCCAACTGTCGCGCCATTGAGTATGAGCTCTGTTTCCAGTCCATGTGCTGGTTCTGCGATTCGGATACTCCACGAGAACACGTATAATCCGGGTGTGTTACAAGTGAATACCCCGGTTTTTGCGTCATATCCGGTTCCAATGTTTGTTTTCATGTTAGAATATGGGACGATGTGTCCAGGGGCCGGGTCATGTATTGTGACAGGCAGTATTGCATGGAAAGCTACCCAGTCTATGACGGATGCTGCAAGAATGATTAAAACATATGTTTGTTGTTTATCAAGTACATTTATAATGCGTTGAAACAGGACCTTGTCTGCAAAGACTTTTTATTATCTATATCCTACTTTATACTTCCACAAGTAGGATGATAAATTCATTATCATGAATTAATATAACGTTCTTGAATAGAAAAACAAACGACAGCGGATTTGTCCATATTGGACAGGTCTAGATCGCTTTGCTTTTTGTATGTTACGTCCTTTTCACAGTTATGGTCATTTACAGACGAGCTATTTTCAATTGATGCTGATATAAAAAGATCAGAAGTTATAAAACGCTTGCTTTTAATACGGAGGACCTAACCACGTGTTATATATAGAGACCGTTTAATTTTTTTTTTAAATAGCTTATCAAGAGACATGTGAATGTTCCTATGTATTTTCTGGTATATTTCTATATTTTCCGACGCCTTCGAAAATGTAATTTCTCATATTCCCCATAAACCCAGGAGAAGGACGTCCAACCACATTTTCTCACTACTGCTTTTTGAAATAATACAATCTGTCAATAGAGGAAAAGAATATATCCATGCTCACCTACTCTTGGCCTCATTTTTAATGGTGTTCGTTTGGCAATGCTTTGAGCTTGAAATGCCGCGGGAAGTTTTGTAAGTGTCTTAACATCTTTGGAATTGTTATTCGTTAAATCCTTTAAGCGATTGGTCAAATCTTTCACATCGTTTTTGCCGTAAATACTCTCCACTTCCGATGAACGATTGATCTGGGCATGCACTTCTTTAGAGCTAATAATCTTCACTTCCGGTATACCACTGGTTAGGATCTCTACATCTTTGTTGCACATGTTCTCTACTTCCGTTAAGCGACTGGTGATTATCTCCAATTCTTTGGCGCGCATATTCCCCACTTCAAGTAGGCGATTGGTGAACAATTGCAAATCGTTGCCGCGAATATTCTCTACTTCCGTAATGCGGTTGGTAAGCATTTCCACATCTTTGGCGCGCATATTCTCCTCTTCCGCTAGGCGACTGGTGAGGATTTCCACATCTTTTGCCCGCATATTCTCCACTTCCGTTAGGCGATCGGTAAGAAATTCCACATCTTTTGCCCGCATACTCTCCATTTCCTCTAGGCGATTGCTTAGAATTAGAGCATCATTCGACCGGAACTGTTGTTTCTGGGAAACATACTCATCAATGGCATCTCGCACATCCTGCGATAATGGAATACTAAACACGTTGGTAGCCTGACTGACTAGCCCTGCATATAGAAAAAGAAAAGTTAAACAAGACATTGTCGACAGTTTCGACACTTGTCCGGCCCCTGCTGATATTTGGAACTGTCTCTGTCTTGTTAAAACGTTTTAAAGTTCCGACGTGCACTAAAATATTGTCTGGTTATTATTTGTAAGCCTGTCTACCTTTGCTCAAAAATTAATTCACTTTGCACGTTTTAGAGAATGTGATAGATAAATCAAAATATTTTCACTATTTTTCACTTTTTATTGTATTCGCCGATTCATGTCAAAAGTAAACAAAATAAAATGCGACAAGGCATTTGGCGGCACCGGATCCGAATTTTGAGAGCAAAACTCAGGCGTGATATTAGCTGCTACAGATGAAGAATTTGTAAAACCTAACTTTGCAATGTTTTCATGATTAAATTAATATTTTTGAATTGAATAAGCTTCAAAAACTTCGACTTAATATTTTACTATCCCAAGACAATAAAAGGGGCCAGATCTGAAGAAAGAAATATAAAAGATATTAGTCGAGATAAAAAAAAAATCCATACCACAAACGGACCAGGCGAAACCTTGAAAGTATAATAACTTAAGCATAAAAACCTGAGAAAGATCGACATAAGACAGATTTGAGTAGACAAGAGATACCAATGCACACAAAAGGTATTAGACAAGACAACTGTGACCAAACATAGAGACCAATCCATCATTTAGCATATGCCACCAACCCCAATTCGATCAATGTAAGTAGACTGTACGATAAGCAATGACGATATCAGTGATCGTACTTAAATAAGTGTGTCATCAGCAGTTTTGAGTTCAACCGAAATCTTGACCGGTCGTGGAGGTCATTGAGTGATACTATCAATAGATTTTATCGACAATACAATCAATACAACTTATGTGTAAAACTATTCTTTTTATTATCAAAAACTTACAATAATGTTAAGGAGTATTACATTTCGAACCATTGCATCTAAAACACATTTGTCCTAAGATTTGGTATCTCTTACATTGATAGAAATAGCGAAAAAAAGGCGTTTCAAACATTGACAAGAAATGTCGTCATTTTAAAGGGGCCCATGGATGCATGCGTGACATATTTTAAAACATCGCATTCTTTTCGGCACGTAGGAAAATCTAATTTATTCTTTTTTGCTTAATATCTTTACCACGTTTCACAAACTGATTGTGGTATTAACAGAAAACTACAATAGTATATGTTATGTAAGAGCAATAAAAAAATGAGTATTATCCTGCTTAAATGAACAAAACAGTGAGCTTAGCGGGACAATATCTTTAAAATCAAAATGTATAATGAGGCCGTGAACTTAAATGATCAAAAACAGTATGACCCCTTTAAGATCCAAAATGACGATTGCAGCTGTATCTAGCGAACATTTGGAAATATCAATAAATTCATGTTGTGACCAATACGATTGATTGACGAAACATGGATGAAGCAATGAAAAATGAATGACTTACACAATAATATATTGAGTCTAAAATTCCAAATAATAGCCAACACATAGAATAGACACCCATCTTTGTTTGTAATATGCGACGGTAAATAACATTTCCTGAATCTTGAATCTTAAATCTTGAAAACAGGTATTAACTTTGCTTACAAGAAGTCTTAGGGGCCATCCATTTCATGTCCAGAATTAAAACAATTGGTTGTATTATTGAAGATCTATGTGCATTCCAAATGGCGTTTTATATGGGAGGATGATATGTATGTGATCGATATTTTTTGATAACGTTTACTTTCTAGTTATTGATCATCCATATACTACTTTATACCAACTACCGGTGGGTCGTCAGTGAACGAAGTTTCCGAGTTGGAAACGTATTTATCACAAAAAAGAACAAATGCTCTCCCCAGGTGACGTCGAAAAATGGAAATAGTACTCCAAAAAGTTGATAAGCGTTAGAAAATATTTTTTCATACAGATATCTTTATAAAGTTAAGAGGTAATATTGTGAGTATCACAACACCATTTTAAAGGTAAATGTGCAAATGGAGAAGCCAATGACGAAACTTTTGTTTTAAAAATATCTTTCTACATAGTCATACTGTTAAGGTTCATGGTATTCCTCCGCGGAAATCCTCTATTTGTTTACGTATGTCACGGACCGAGGATCTCTATGATCATTGAGCCTAGAGGTCGTTTGGAAGATATGGTATTTAGTTCCCTTTTTATGCATGGAGGAATAAATAAGGTAGTGGTACATAGATGATCAACAGTTTATCACACAATGCTTTCAGGGTTTGTCGTGAAAAGTGCGGATGCCTCTCGATTGTATCCAAGTGCTCACGATGAGAATATTGTTCTCACGACTAACCCTTAAAACACAGTGTGACAATCTATTGATATCCATGATACAGAATTATACCAATGTGTCGACATAAAAGGACATATTAACAACTCAAAGTCGATGTCGATAAGATAAAAAAAAAAAAAAAGAAAGACGTCCTGATCCAACATCAAAGCTCGAACATTATATACTCGTCAAAACGATGTTTATTGACAAACAAGAGAAGAGAATCATAAACAATCCAGCCTATCAACAGTGGGATTCAGTTGTGTAGAAGAAACCCGGTGAACATGATGTCTGTTGCAATCGATACCTACGGAGGAATACTTCCAGGATCCTGTACCCAGACAAGATCTCCTTGCCGTAGGTACAAAGTCACAGTAGCAGAATCATAACCCCAGATATCGGCTTCCCCACCACCGACAGTGTTGTACCCCATTGTAGCTCAATTCAGCATGAGCTCTGTTTCCAGTCCATGTTTTGATTCTGTGATTCGGATACTCCATGCAATGACGTATAATCCGGGCGTGTTGCAAGTAAATACCCCGGTTATTGCGTCATATCCGAAACCGATAATAGTCTTCATGTTAGGGAATACGATGATTTCGCCACGGGGCGGATTTTGTATTCTAGCAGCAATATTGCCATGGAAGGCTACCGAATCTGTGCCGGGTACTGCAAAAGTCATAACAAAACATGTTACCCATTTCGTACGAAAAACAATGTACTTGCCAGCAAAGACTTTCTATCATTGTATACTTTATACCACGCACCAGTAGCTTAATAACTTCATGTTCAATATTATGAATAACGAGCATGAGAATATTTGAATATTTTATTTGGTTTGTTTTGGTAGATTTTTTCAAAATTGAATGGCTGTTCGTGCTTGGTGACGTCATAAGGCGGAACTGTTTTTCCGGGTTGAATGTCAAATTACTACGAGGCAAGTATGAGGGGCCAAAGCCATTTTGGTCTTAACTGCTGTTGAAACAAAAGGAGAGGAAATATTGATTTTAAATGTTTGAGAAGTACCGGTTAATGTCATATTGATGAGTAAAGTGTGTATAGTATGACACATGCCGCTACTCAAAATAGTTTACTGTGGCCATCAAGGTCATCTGGGACTAAAGAATTCACCAGAAAAAAAGCTACCATTTTATCTGGAAAGATGGACGGAACACCTGCACCTTTAAAATTTGGTAACAGATACAGTATGCAAAAAGTGAATTAAGTTACACCAATCAGCTAACACAGAGATGCCAATCTTCTTCTAGGAAAGAGCTTTAATCAAACTATGAGTCGCCTGGACAAATCATTACAGGAGATACAACAAATAATATCAATGCATTCCTTTGTGAAGTGGGAAATACGATAAGTATACGCCTAAACGGGGCCACGGTGGACACGTGGTTAAGGCGTCTGGTATTCTGGTACCACTAGCCCTCCACCACTTGGTCGTTGGTTCGAGACCTACGCGAGGCAGTCGCCAGGTACTGGCCGTCGGTCAGTGTTTTTTCTCTGGGAACTCCGGCTTTACTCCAACACCAAAATCTGACACGTCCTTAAATGACCATAGCTGTTACATGTAATAGGACGTAAAACACAAACAAACAAACCGAAACTATACGCCTAAAAAAAGATATTATTTCGAATTACAATTCAATCACTTACCATTAGTAGACCACATTGGACCCCGGTCATTAAGAATACTCATATATATGCGTTTGCTTGGTACGTGTTACTGACCCAAAATCATGTAATAATTTACTATAATACTCCATAGGCAGGCGGAGCTTTGGGGAATGAATCGTTTTGCTCCCGTAATACGCTCTAAGATACTACATAACTTCATATCATCTACATTTGTCAATTAAAGAAAAATATTTCCCATACTTACCTGTCGTTGTGGTCATTATAGCTGATGGACTTTTGGTAATGTTGTTAACCCTTTCACCCCTAGGTAACTTTAATAGACTCTACCATACATTGATCTGGAGGAGTCCATTATGGTCTACAGTGGTGAAAGGGTTAACATGAGTTTTATGGTCATATTCCACGGAACGTTTTGTCAGTATCTGCGCATCTTCGGAACGGGTTTTCTTCAAATCCATTACGCCATTGGTCAAGTCCTTCATATCATTGGTTAGCATACTCTTCACTTCCGGCAATGGATTGGGCAGGATCTGCACACGCATCGTTGATACATTATCTTCTTCCGATATCCTACAATGAAATGAAAACGTTGATTAGACCGGAGGGGTACCTAACTTGACACAATTAAACCTTTACAATAATCAACAACTTTGGCAACAAAGAAGTCCTCTTTAAGTGCTTCATCCTTACCTTCCTTAAAACCAAAACTATACAAAAGGGACGAGACAACGAAACAAGACCTTGCCATCAGAATTTGACAAATCAAATAAAAGGAGACACAAAAGGCCGGATCAGAAACGACCAATAAAATGGCAGCAGACGTATGTGAAAAAACCAACAGTGGTCATATAACTTTAATATGAGACAAAGGGATCACACTAGACAAAGATGATAGAGGAAATAAAAACTGACCAGGCTAGAAAATATCAAGCAATGGAGACTAGATTTATATAAGCCAAAGGTCAATTTGAGCAAAGATCCAAAACAAAAAACGAATAATTCGACAACCAGAAAAGAACATTGCGACTTTTTAAAGAGACCAGGGTCCGTATTCATGAAATTGCTCTCATGCTCTAGTATAGGTTTTGTGCTCAAACCTG